GGCTCTGTCCCATCCTTGCCCTCCTGGGCCAGCTGCCACCACAAGCTGGGCTTCAAGAAGCACAAGAAAGAACGTCCAGGGACGTCCCCTGAAGACATTGACCCACTGGGCCTCCCGCCCCTCCGCCGCACCCTCTTCCCTTACCAGCCTCACCTGGGCCACCAGCCCTGCCCCTGCTGAGACCAGGTGCACCTGAGCCCTTGCAGAGAGCAGCCAGTCCTCCTGCCTTGAATCTGGGCGCCCCCAGCTCTCCCTGCCCCCTTCTCGCTTCTGCCCTCAGCCGCTTGCTCTCAGCGGCCGTTACCTCTCTGGGCCTCCGTTTCCTTCCCATCGAATCTGGGGGCGGCAGTGACAGTGACTGCTGCCAGCTCAAACACTCAGTGACCTTTTTCCCAAGGTCACAGAGCTGGGACAAAAATTGAGTTCCAAGCCCCATGTTCTTTCCTGTAAAAATGCAACTGCTCCGTCTGCATGAGGACACCCCGAACGGCCCGAGCGGGTGATCCGGTGGGTGGCCCTGCGTCCTGCTCTCTCCCGCAGATCATAAGACGGGACACGAGCTCCCCCACTTTCAAAGCGCCCTGATGTGGGAGCTGGTGCTACTGTTTTTCAGGGAAAGAAATAAAGAGGAAGAAGGTTCTATGACTCCTCAGGATGGGACGGAGGAGCTACGACACCCTCCTCGGGTCCTCTGAGGGGTGAGAAGGCCGCGGCCCCGCCACCCTGCCCCTTTCCCGCCCCCCGGAAGCCCCAGCTTTACCCAGTGGGTGTCCCTATCAGAGCCCCCGAGACACCAGGAGCAGCCTCCCTGAGGCCCCGGGGGCTGCAGAGACCTTTCTCTCAGCAGAAGCAGGGACTTTCGGGTGGAGCATTTCTCATGTTTCGTGGCCCCTCCTCGTTGTCCCAGACCGGGGCCTCCCCACAGCACCCGACAGACAGGAGATGAGTGACCGGATGGAAGGACAGTGAGCAGGGCTGGGGTACCCACCATGGATGCAGCAGAGTGGGCCCCTGAGAAATGACAACACCCTACACCTACATGGAGCCCCCCAGGCGTACCCACAGGGTACCTACCCTCTGGCCAGGCGGGTGGGTCCTGGGGAGCCCCCACGTTCCTCCCCTGCTCTTGGTATCACGAGCCGTCCCTCCTTCCCAGCCCCACGTCCACACGACGCGTGCTCTCTGCCCAAGAGGAAGGCAGACCTGGAGGAAACCACCCCCACCTGAGCTGCAAACACGGTCCCATAGAAGGAAAAAGGGCAGCCGGACCTGGGTGAGGATTCCCCAGCCCAGGTGGGGACAACTTGCTCTTGTGTCCACGGGAGCCGTCACGGGGCAGGAGGGTTTCGGGGAGGTGGGAGAAAGAACCTTGGGGTGTAGGGCTTGTTAGACTGGCTTGCAGAGAACAGACCCCTCCCTTTCTAGAGGATTCTCGAATCAAACAGAAGCCCAGGTGCCAAGGATGGCGAAGAGGCCACCCTCACTTGAAGAAGGGACTATATCCCAGCTCAGAGCTCAAAGAAGGAAACTGAGTCCTTCTGTGACCTTCAGCTTCATGGTGAGTCCCTCCCCTCCTTCCCCCACACAATTACACCAATATGACAGTCGCTGAACACAGGGCTCCAGGTTTCTCACGCTAGTACCATGTTTCCTCGAAAATAAGATGGGGTTTTATATTTATTTTCCTCAAGAAGACACCCTAGGGCTTATTTTCAGGGGATGTGTTATTTTTTGTAAGTACAGTACAACAATCTACATTTATTCAAACATGGTAAAGTCGTCTTCTTCTGGAACATCATCATCACTCTCCAAACCCCAAATTCCATCCTGAATTGCTTGTGACTCTATTTCCTTTAGAACCATTGGCCCCAATCTCTCATGTGCAGCCACAGAGCTCTCATGGGGCAGATGAGAAGGGCTGCTCGTCTTCTTTCCCGCTCCTCGACGACACGCATGGGTTGCGCAGATGCGCTGCGTAGCCACGCCCAGCACTAGGGCTTATTTTCGGGGTAGGGCTTCTATTGCACCAATGCTTAGACATCCCGCTAGGGCTTATTTTATGGGTAGGGCTTATTTTCGGGGAAACACGGTGCCAGCTTCCAGGCCTAAAACCAATCTAAACTGTCTAAAGAAATCCAAACTGGCAATAGCTCTCTGGTACATGTGTATAAAGCTTTGCAGTTTCTAAAATGCCTACAAATTCACTCCCTTCCTCCTTAGGTGAGAGAACAGGCTCAGGGGTTCACCCGGGGACTCTGGAGGAACCGATCGGGTTGCCTGCAACCTGCAGGACAGTCCTTTGCCCCATGTGGGAAGTTGGTGCTAAAGCTCAAGACGGAAACCGCTTTCCCGCATGCCAGGCTGAGAGCAGCCACACCAGGCCAGAAGCCACGGAAGAGGGTGCCACCCGCGTGGCCGGTACGGAAAGGGATGCTCTCGATCTGCCAGCGGGCGCGGCGGGGAGCCGCCACGCTGGCAGCAGGTAGGCCTGGTCAGACTCGAGGCAGTTGTAAGGAGTCATTCGGCGGTTTGAATGCTTCCTGTTACCCACTTCAGTACGAGGTCGACTGTGGTCGCCAGCCACAGATGGACGCGCACAGCGACTGTAGCCGACAGCCGTGATACGACTTTTCTAATTTTTCATTTATCAAAATAAAATTGTGAACATTTAAAAATAACATAATGAAAACATATGTCTATGTTACCTATTCTGATTGACATGACAAGCAAAGCTGCCTGTAAAGTCAAACAAGCTTTCCGGGCTTTCAAGCTTTCCTCACCACACAGGAGCAGAATGGACCTGTCGTCGACGCACAGCACAGACCGCCGTGGGACTGTGGGTGCCGCCGTGGGCGAGGTGGGACTGTGGGTGCCGCCGTGGGCGAGGGGGCATGGCCGGTGGGCGCCGCACCCAAGTGGTCAAATTGGTAGTGGCTGATTAACACGGTGGTGCTCAAAGGGTGGTGGTGTTCACCAGGCATTCAGGGGTGGGGGGGATAGACCCACATCTTAGGGATGTGGTGAGCATTGTGGAGGGGAAGGCATACCTCTAACCCTTGCTAGGGAAAGGCAAAGATATAAAAAGTAACCAAAATGTTAAAAAAACACACATTTATCGGGTGTGGGGCAGGTGGGACGGGCATTTACATACATAGCGAGTGCGATGTGCACCGTCTGGGGGATGGACATGCTAGAAGCTCTGATCTGAGTGGGGGAGGGGAGGCAAGGGCAATGTCCGTGACCTTAACATTTGTACCCCATGATATGCTGAAATAAAAATAAATAAATAAATAAAATGAAAGGGCGCTTGGCCTCCAGCTGTGGCGGTCTGGCTGACGCTGCCCACAGTGGTACCTGAGGATGACGCGCTGGGACCCAGCTTCCCCCGCTGGGCGGGGCGAGCCGCCCTCTGCCCCCTCCCGCCCGGGTCCCAGTGTCCCTGCTGAGCAATGGTAGGTGACGGGCCCCCTCCAGGCTGTGGATGAGAAACAGCCCGTAAAGCTTTCTATAGAGCTCTGTACACCTATAAAGCGCTACTCGCGTAATCACTACTGCAGATTAGGGTCGACGTTGAAGGGTGAACGTGGGCCCGTTCAGGCCCTCCTGAGGCCCACTCCTTGGCCCAGAGGGCCTGGGAGGCACAGGCTGCCCTTGCCGGGAACAAGTCGCTCCACCGTGGGCAGAAGTCAGGCAGAGGTGACTTGCGTGGGGGCTGAGTAATCAGTTTTTTCCAGATGCTTCTTGGCCGGAATTTTAATCCTAAACCTCAAGAGACATTGCATCCTTCAGTGGCTCCTGCCTGTGCCCTCCTGCCTTCCCCACCACCTTCCGTCGAGTTTCGAGAGGCCCTGACACACTGAGATGCCACACCCATAACTACACAGGAAAGAGGGCCAGCTAGGTATGTTTCAAGACTGCCTTGAACAACGGTGATAGGCCGGGCGAGGTGGCTCACGTCTGTAATCCTAGCACTCTAGGAGGCCGAGGCGGGTGGATTGCTTGAGGTCAGGAGTTCAAAACCAGCCTGAGCAAGAGCGAGACCCAGTCTCTACTATAAATAGAAAGAAATTAATTGGCCAACTAATATATATAGAAAAAATTAGCCAGCCATGGTGGCGCATGCCTGTAGTCCCAGCTACTCGGGAGGCTGAGGCAGAAGGATTGCTTGAGCCCAGGAGTGTGAGGTTGCTGTGAGCTAGGCTGATGCCACAGCACTCACTCTAGCCTGGGCAACAAAGGGAGACTCTGTCTCAAAAAAAAAAAAAAAAAAAACAACGGTGATCTAGCACCTCTTATGTTTTCCTGGATAGAGCTGGAACCCATTCTATTAAGTGAAGTATCCCATGATTGGAGAAACAAGCACCACATGTACTCACCAGCAAATTGGTATTAACTGATCAACACCTAAGTGGACACATAAGAGTAACATGTATCGGGTGTCGGGCAGGTGGAGGAGGGGAAGGGTGTATACATACATAATGAGTGAGATGTGCACCAACTGGGGGATGGACACACTTGAAGCTCTGACTCCAGGGGGGGGAGCAAGGGCAATATACATAACCTTAACATTTGTACCCCTAAAATATGCTGGGAAAAAAGACTGCCTTAAAAAGAAGAAAAAAGCGTTGTAGCCTTAAGCAAGTAATTAAACGAAACTCGCTTTCAATCCTCAGATAGCCTGAACCACCTCATTCCACTCTGTAAGTATAAAGTCGGCTCAAGGAGTAAACTGTTCTTCACGGAGGCAACGAGTTGGTGTTTCTGTTCAGTGTCGATGATCCCAACAGTTTCTGGCGTGTGCAATGCAGATTTACCTCTGCATAACTCATAAAATTAAATAAACCATCCCTACAAGATAACTTTTTAAAATGAAAAAGCCAATGTAGAAAACACTTTGACCAATACTGCAAGTAGCACTGGATATAATATTGATGCCTTGAAAACTTTTTTCTTGTTGCAAAACTCTTTTTCAAAGGATAGAAGTGTCATGGTACAAAAATGTTTATTTAAATTAAATATTTCCAACAAATCGATATCCACAACCGTTCCAAAGCCTGTGCAGTTCTTACAAAAACAAAAAAAAAAACACCAAATGGAACAGTTTAGCTTAATGTCCGTGATACTGTTTTGCAAGATTATTAACACACATCCTGGACTGTGCAGCAGTCCATCATATCGTCAACCATTCACTATTTATTACCAAATGGCATACACAGTAAGAGCATCCAGATTAATCATATCTTATAAGTGATTGTACAATAAGACTTCTTGGAAGGGAAGAACAAGGATCTCTGTCAACAATACAAAATACAAGGTGAAAAATAACAGGAGGATATATAAAACACATATTTCTTACAGGCAATAATATGCTGAAATCAAAAGACAAACAACTGTCTTGCAGCTCACTGTCAGGCATGTTCCTTCGAAGGAGGTTTGGGGGAAGAATGCAAATGGTTTTGGGGTGCGGCCAGGGCTCAGCATCGGCTGAGGACTTTGCCTGACGAACCAACAGGCTGGTGAGGGTGAGGGATTCCCATCACAGCAGAGGAAGTGTGCCAGGTATTTCAAGTCAGAGGCTCTGAGAGTTAGGGACTGATTTGGGGGTGGAGGAAGAGCGAGAGAGAAGAGGAGAAAAAGAAATCCCAGGAAAGGGAGAGAGTGGGAGCTGGAGGACACACGGGGGGAAACTCCTTTTGCATCTGCAGAGCCGAACGTCCTGCAGTTTTGCTTAAAAAACCGGCACTTCCAGATTTGAAGACAGCAACCTTGCCTTGTGGCTAAGTCCTTTCAGGTGCCCTGGCTGTGTGGGCCGATAGGAACAGGGGGGTGGTCAGAAGTCGCCGGCGTTCATAGGAATATCCCTGATTTAGGCTGCTCGGACGCATGTCTGAGGGTGTGTGTGGAGTGGCGTGTCTCATGCACGCCCACCGCATGTACTGGGACAGCACGAGTTCCCCGGAAGCATGTGTACAGCAAGAAAGAATTTATGCAAGAAAATATATTTAAGAAAGCAGTTTGGATCCAATCTCATTTTGAGTGAAGTGGTTAACCACTCTGGTGAATCCCCCCAATTTCCCAAATCAGGACGAGCGCTTTCTCTCAAATTGGAACAGTCCTTTTGGAAATCTACGGTCATTTTGGAGGGAGGGCAGCAAGCACGGGAAGCCTTGTGTCCTTGGGCCAGGAACCAGGCTGCACGTTAAGCATCTCATTAAGGAGTCTGATTCCCCCATCTGCCTTTAGTTAGCCCGAGAGAACCCTAAACCAGAAGACCGTGCAGCAGAGGGGACCTTCGCTATGAAGTCTGTCCCCCCACTTGACGGATGGGGGAATGGACGGGACGGGGCGGCTGGGGGCGTGTTGGTGTCTCCCCAGCGTCCACAGTAGAACTGGGGCTGAACCCCAGCCCGGGGCTCTTCTCACCTGCGGGACCGAAAGACCAGGTGCAGCCGGGTCAGAAACAGGAGAGGTTCGAATGCTGCTGGCTTATCACCACGTGTCTCCACGACGGGGACAAGGAAAGAGGTCAGTGAGCACCCTACAGGGAGACGGCATCTCCCAGCAACCTGGTGGCCGTATTCCCAGCGTGTAGCCGACGAGAGCTCATTTGAAGGAATACACTCAACACGCAGGCTGGGGCAGGGGGCCGTGGGGAAGTGGACAGAGGGGCCCTCAGATTGATCAGCAGAGCCCCGTCCAGTTTCGGTCCGAAGGCTCTGGGCCGGCAGTCGGACCTCCCCGGGCAAGGGGAGGAAAGCTGGAGCTAGAGCTGACAGGCTCTCTGCCCCTCCCGGGGCACAGGAGCGAGAGGGCTCGGGGGCCAGGCTGGACGCGGAGCCTCTGTGTCTATGACACGCTGTAGCTGTTGTAGTACGTGGCTGTGGCATCAGCCAGGACGGAGATGAGGCTGGTCTCTGTGGGGCCCGTTGGTGCCACCTGGGAGACCGGGGCATGCCCGCTGAGGGCCACGGTGCCCGCGGCAGAGTCTGGGTGGCCAGGAGTGTTCAAATACTGATCAAATTCATTGCGATCCATGTCCCCTAGGAGTTCCACCTGGCTCAGCTGATCCAGGGTGTCGAAGCCAGGGTGTTCGGGAGGCGGGGAGAGCTGGCCCAGGTGGGCGTGGAGGTTGGAGTGGAGGGGGTGGTAGGTGGCCGGGGAGTAATAGGCAGGGGACGGGGAGCAGCCGGGGACGGTGGACATCATAGAGACACTGAGGGACTGGCCAAGGGCCAGGGAGCCCAGGGGGTGGCTACAGTGCAGGGGGCTGGGGGTGTACTCCGGCGAGTAAGGGGGCCCTGGCAGGTGGGCCACGCGGCGGGGGTGGGCCTGCTCTTCCTGGCAGGGGGAGGAGAAGAAGGTCTGCTCCGGCTCCAGCACGTCCAGTGGAGACATCTCCGGCGGTGTGGGCAGCCCGTACGGGTAGGCGTCCACACTGCCTGGGGTGCCACCGCCACCAGCCGGTCCCTCATGGTAGCAGCCCCGGAGGCTGGGCAGGGTGGTGCCCGGGGAGTACTCACCCCTGTCCTCCTTCTCCCCCGGCACCCCCCGGCCGCCGCCCCTCTTCTCCGGCAGGGCATTCTGGTCCCGGGAGAGGGAGCTCAGGAGGAAGCCGGGGTCCACGCGCTTGCAGAGGCGCTTGGCCTGCTTCTTCCTGCGGGGCCGGTACTTGTAGTTGGGGTAGTCCTGCATGTGCTGCAGGCGCAGCCGCTCCGCCTCGTCCACGTACGGCCTCTTCTGGGACAGCGTCAGTGCCTTCCACGACTTTCCTGCTCGCACAAGGCAGAGAAGGCCACACTCAGCATCTGTGTGCTGCTGGGCGGCGGGTACAGCAGCCGCAGACGTGTGCTCCCAACCACCGTGCACACACATGCACGAACACAACCACACACACGCGCACACGCCTCCCCTGGTACCCACTCTGCTCGCTGTCCCCCTCACGGCCGCGGGGGACGCGGGCACGTCTCTCGCCTCTTCCCAGCCCAGTCCCGCAGCAGTGAGGCTGGACCAGCGCCTCCCGCTGCAGCCTGCCAGCCACCCCCCGAATCGCCTCTCCTGAGAAAGCCACCAGACACACCGATCTGCAAGCAATGTGGGCTCCCAGCGAAGGGCCCACCTGACCCCACGCCAGCAACAGGAAACAAATGCCTAATGACCACATTGATTGGGGCTCTTGTTGCCCCTCAAGGGTCTGTCCTTACCACATGTGCGTTTCAATGAAAATTCCCTGCCTACACTAATTATTGCTGCCTCTTAGGAAATGATACTATAATATTTACTTATGGCCTAAATGTCACAGCCCTTTCTGTGTGAGAACCCAGGCTCGGCCAATAGCTTCACAGATGTAGGTAAAATTAGAGGGTCTCAGGTTGACAGATGCGTATTCCTTGCCTCTGAAGGTCAAACAGGACCTTGCTGGATGACTGTGGCCAGAATACTGTCATCTGCCTGCAACACACGTACACACGCTGGCACGCATGCGCACATGTGCACACATGCACACACAAGCTTCTGCTTCCAGCCATGTGCTTAGGACCCTTTCGTTGTGGGGGTGGGGGTACCTGCTTTCTGATCTCCAGGCAGCAGTAAACCCCTCCACTTCCCTGGGCCTCTGCTGTCCTCACCATAAAATAAAGATGCGGTGACACTCCTCAACTCCAAGCTCTCTCTCTAAGAGGCATCCCACGCGTGGAACCCACTGGTGCCAAATGCTGGCTGCGTTTGAACTTCATCACTGCTGGTTTGTCTGTTCCACAAGTCACTGTAGCTTTCTCTGTCACCTCTCCGGGTACACTGCGCATCCCTCTGGCTACAGTGTTTTCTGAGGGTCACTCTGGCGCCTTGGATTCTTACCTCTTGGGTGGGCTCAGGATTCGACAACTTTAACATGCTTCCCCATGACTCCACCGTATCCTGACATTTGAGACCCACTAGCCCAGAGGCTGAGGTTTAAGAGAAGAGGCCCGTCTTCCACTCTGCGCACTCAGCCAGGGCCAGGTGCGGAGGCATGCACAGGGTCCTCTGTCCCACACCGCTGGCTCCTCAGGCCAGGCCCTCAAAGGGGCCGAGGGGCTTGGGGATGGCAATTATTAAGGATGTTCTACCAGTAAATTGGGTAAATGTTTATAACTATTCTATGGAGTTGTCAAGTCATGTCATTAGCTGTTATTTAAAAGGGTGACTTGAAAAGTGTTAGGAACTCTGGATTCAGGGCTGGTCATTGGTTTCCAGCCGGTAGCTGAGGTCACAAAGCTGTTATAAGAGGCCCAAGGTCTAGACGCACCTCACACCTGATCCGTGGTCTGAACACAAACTCTGACTCTAGTGTCAAAATATTCTTGGATTTTGTAGTTTTAATAAAATACAGGTTCATTTTAAATGCTACCAAATGCCTAATTATCCTTATGCATGTTCTCATTCATAAGATACTACAAATACTAGTAGGGCTAGGTGAAATTTTTAATGAAGTTTGGGAAGCTTACAGAGAAAAAGCTGGGTCGGAAGGGGGAAGGGCTGAGAAAACAAGCTCTGGGATAGAAATGACCATCCTGTCCCCCCCCAACAGGTGTACAAAGTCCACAGTTTTAAAAGCACCAGCGTTTTGGTTTCCTTGTCCCTGTCCGGAGCTACGAGGCCAAGCGAGAAGGAATCAGGGTCTTTCCTGCAGAATGAACCGCAGCCTTGCTGCCTCCCTAGGTGCAGTCTGCAACAGGATCAGCTGGGCTCAGTCCCTTCGCCTGCCCCTTTCCCGCAAGCAGGCAGTGTCAGTCCCGCAAGGCAAGGCTCCGACTTCCCTCCTCTGCCATCTCTGGCCTGGGCCTGCACCAGAAACCCTGCTCTGTCTCCCCTGGTCACTGCCAGGTTCCCATCCCCAGCTGGCCTGGTCCGCAGGCACTGTGCCCAGGGATCTGCAAAAACATGTGTTTCTTTCTTATAAAATCTGAAGAAAAATACGAACCTTGAGTCAAGGAAAATATTTCAGTATTGTATATATTAATATATTTGTCTTTATGCCAACACAGTATAAAACAAGTTGGTTTTTTTTTTTTTTAATAGGGGAAGGGGCCCAGGAAGGCAGGGGGCCACTAACTCGGCCTTGGCACAGCTGGCCCCGAGGCTGGGCTCTGGGCGAGGGGCCCTTTGAAACCAGCCCTCCGCCGGCTGCTCTGTGGGCCCGTCCAAGCCGCTGGGGGGCTGGTCTCTGCGGCTTCAGCCGGCAGAGGGACGCAGCCCTCGCTCCAGGGTTCCAGGGTTCCGCCGGGGAAGGAGCCCTGAGCTCCGACGGAAAAGGAAGGGCTCCGTTCAGGCCGGGTGGGGTTGCGGAGGGCAGGGCCTGCCCGGGGTGACCGCACGTCCCTTCTCACAGGGCCCGGCGCCCGCTGCGTGCACCAAGTGCTTGGAGAGGTTTTCACCGGTTAAAATGAATACAAAACGACTGGAAAGACAAAGAGGTCTGGGTAAGGCCAGGCCGAAAAGCGCTCAGCTCCGGACATCCCAGAGAAAAGAAACCAGACAAGAATTCCGGCTTTTCTTCCTAACATGCCCACTCTGGGCTCCTTCGTCCTGGAGGGTCCCTGTCCCCAGCCGGGCAGGGTCAGTGCAGGAAGCGGCTGGACTCCAGGACAGACTCTCACTGGCCGCCCCAAGCATCCAAATCAAATTATCTATACTCCTGCGACTGAGAAATGGATTAACGAATCGAGTCTATTGCAGTACACAGTTTTTGCTGTTATTTTACTAATTAAGTTAAAGTAGGGATTCATTCTCACAAGGCCTCTTTTCACAAATATTCGTTTAGTTTCGTCGGTGACAACCCCCCCTGCCCCCCGTGGTTGCCCCACTTGCAAAGTTTAGGGAATGACGGGTTTTCCTGCTTCGGCATTCCTAGCCAACGCCGGTTCCACCCAGCCCCGACGTTTCCGTCCGGGCTGTGTCCAAGCGCGCGGGTCCCTGTCGCCAGGCATCCGGCTGCCAGGTCCCGCCTGCCCTCTGGGGCCCCAACCCGGGCTCCTGTCCCAGGGCAGGGACCTCCCTGGCAGCCGGGGCTGGCCGCGCGGTTTCCCTTCGGGCCTCGCCAAGGTGTCCGCGCTCCGAGTCCCGGACCCCGAGCGCACCCACGCACATACGGATGCGCAGCCACGCGCGCACACAAGCGCCGGGCCCCAGGCGCCTGGTGGCCCCGCGCCCCCCACCCGGCCGCCCGCTCGCTCACCCAGCATCTTGCTGAGCTCGGCGTTGTGCAGGTCCGGGTTCTGCACCGCCAGCCGTTTCCTCTCGTCCTTGGCCCACACCATGAAGGCGTTCATGGGCCGCCGGATACGGCTCTCGGAGCCCTTGTCCCCCGCGGGGCGGGGGACGGCGGGTGGCGACAGACCATCCGACAGCTCGGCCTCCAGGGCCGGGCACTCCAGCCCCTCGGGCCACGGGTAGGCTCCCAGCAGCGAGGCCATGGCCGCACACGGGTCGCCTCCCCTCGCTTCGCGTCGCGGGGCCGGCGTTGACCTGGCCCTAGCACGGGTCGGGGCGTCCAACTTGGCCCGCAGCCGCGACTCGGTCCCCTATTTATCAGCTCCGAGCGGCCGCGTCCTCCAATGGCTCTGGACCGCGGCGCGGCCCCTCCCTCGGTCTCGGCGCGGCCCCCTCCCTGAGTCTCCGGAGGCCGCGGGTCCCCGCTCCGACCTGCCGGGAGGGGGAGGGACGGGGAGGGCCTCTTCCCGCGCCCGCCCCCCAGCCCGCCCCTCCGCCTCCGGGAGCCCGCCCGGGACACGCGCCCCGCCGCCCGGGGCCGCCTCCCGCCCCGCCCCGCCGTGCCCCACCCCGCCCCGCCCGCTCCGGGCCCGCAGGTGCCGCAGAGCCCGCGCGGAGCCCGCCCGCAGCTCCCTACCCCCGGGCCACCACCAACTCCTCCCGCGCGTGGAACCTCGGAGAACCCAGCCCAGACAGGTTTCGCTGGGAACGCCTGAGCGCGAGAGACATTGGCCGTGGGTCCCCGAGAGCAGCCAGTGGGCTGTTCTTAAGAGAACACACCTACTGCTTTCTGACAATGGGCAGGTTCGGCCGCCGCGGAGGTGGCGCCCGCCGGGGCCGGGTTGCAACCCTGCGCCCGCCCGCTCGGGACCCCCGACGCCCCGCCACACCCGGGCTCTCCAGAGGGCGTGGCTGCCGTCCCGGTTCCGCCGACCGATTTCTCTCTTCTCACCCCACGCCGCCCCACCCACCGCCACCCCAGTCTCCAGGGTCAGGTCTCCAACTCCCTCGCTCTAGCTCTTCTCTCGGGGAATTTTCTCCTTTTGTTTTCTCTTTTCTCCTCCGAGTGGCAGTCCCACTGCTCCGAGTACAGTCGCTCCTGCCGCCCGCGTCCCCTCTGGCTTCCGGTTCACCTGGGAGCTCCCTCAGTTTCCCTTGTCCCGACACCCCAGGGTGGACCCAGCTGCGCGCAACTCGGGAGGGCTGCGGGCTTGGGAGCTCAGCGCAGTCCCGCGCGGGGCCGCGGCTCCTGCGTCGCCCAGCCCGCTGTGAAGTAGGGCGGTTCCATCAGCGCCGGCACACAGTAGGCGCTCAAGAACTACCGAATAAGTGAATGAATACGTGAGCGAGCAAATATGGCCCAGACACACCCTACTGTATGACACACAGCAGGCTTGACTAGATCCTGGAATTCAATTCGCAAATATTTACCTAGCGCCACCCTGCGCGGAGCTCCGCAGAGGTGACCCTCGCAGGAGGTGGCATTGCGGTGGGAAGACCGCGGGGTCTGGAGTCAGAAGCTGTCTCAGTGTGTGGGTACCTATGCGTGCCTCTGCGAATGCCCGTACCTCGTCCTGGGGAGGCTGCTTTCCTAACCCCACAGCGGGACGGCGGTAAGCCTGACCTCACAGGGCTGTGGTGAAGCTCTGGCGAGATGAAAGTAGTGACAGCTCCCACTTCCACACGACGGCTGACGTTACTATAACTCCAGACCACGAAGCCCTCAAGTCCAGACTTCAGGGTCCCAGCGCGCAGGGACCAATACCTTGCATGCAACATGCAATGGGCCCACCGCAAGTGGGGCGAGCGGACCAAGAACTGCAACCTCTCCATTTTTTTGCGTCCTCATGTTAACCTCTTGGGGCTGGGATAATTTTCATCCGAGACCGCGCTTTCCGCACTAAATAGATTGCTGGGGTCTCTCCTCCCTCTCCAGCCAGGATCCAGCAGCAGCAACGCCCCAGGCCCATGCGCCCCACCCGCTGCTCTCGCGGGCCCTGGCGACCAACGAAGGGTCAGCGCGGGCAGGGCAGGGGCGCGGGCGCTGGGAGAGCCTGGAACCCGAGGCAGAGCGGCGGGGCTGCGTGGCGCAGGGACCAAGTGGGGACGGCCTGTGGAGTGCGTCCGCCACCCAGGCGGACTTCCCTACCTCGCGAAGCCTAGGCCATTTCAGTGGCGGGCCCTCTCCCAGAAATCCCTCCAGAAGAAGCCTGAGGCCGAGTGCTCCTCGCTGGGACCCAGGGCCGCGCTCCGCCAGGGGCAGGTAGCTCTTAGGGAGAGCGGAGAGGGGAGGGTCCTACTGAGTGACTTGAGCTACAGTGGAGGACCCCGACCCTTTCTGACCCTGCCGCCACTCTAGGGCGGGGACAGTGATCAGCAGGTTCAGAGGCCTGGGGGGATGGCACCCCTTCCCGGCGGGGGCGTCCCCGCTTCCGCCCCCTATCCCTGGCGCACTGAGCACCGCGTGCACCCGGGGGGACCGCGTCCTGGCACCAAGTGAAGGCGCGAGGGCCAGGGAACGCGGAGCGGTCGAGTCTGAGTCAGAGCCCAGGGACGAACGGCAAAAGTGAGAAAACAATGGGGCCGGGACAGAGAAAATACGTGTTGTGATTGTCTCCAAATGTTTACTGTCTTGCTTTGCATCTGGAGAAGCCCCGACTGTCCCGGAGCTGAGCGTCAAGCGCCTGGTCGCAGGCGCGGGCGCGGTCCGGAGTTTGGCTATTGTCTGCACGCCGGAGCCCGAACCCGGCTCGCTCGCGCGCTCCATTCCTGCATCCCTTTATTCACTTGCGTCGATGCATTTGTTCACCTGAGCAACTGTGTGCGAGCGCGCCCGGGTGCTGGCGGTGCCAAGAGACGCGGGGTCGCCGTGACCCGCCGCCTCTCAGTCTTTCCAGAGCTGCGCGCCCGCCCAAAGCATCCCCAGAGCCAGGGTCCGGGAGGGCCGAGCTGGACGGCCAAGGCCCGCCCTCCCAGGCACCTGGACAGCCGCCCTCGCCAGCGCAGGGCCCCGGACGGCGGACACTTGTTGGTCCAGCGGCTCATCGCGAGGCTGGGGCGGAGAATCTTAGAGCGTGGCCCCGGGCGACGGAGCGGAGAAGGGTCGGGACGCAGGGCTGCAGCGCGGGATGCCTCGGCCCTGCGGCTGGAGGGAACGGGGCCGGGACTCCCGCAGGCGCCGGAGGGCAGAGTTGGAGAGGCGGGTCCCCGTGTGACCACGCGGGCCACAGTGGACACCGCGTGTGCACCTCGCAGCCGACGTGTTGGTGCACAGACCCGAGCCGAGCCGTACTCTTCCGGTGCGTAGGTGTGTATTACGTCACTCGCGCTTTCTTCTCATCTCTTAAATGCCTTTTTCTTTCTTTTCTTGTCCCTCCCTCTCTCCCTGCTCTCCTGCCCCTCTCCGCTCTCCCTGCCCCCGCCCGCCCTCTCCCCTTCCTTTTAGCCTCGCAGCTCTGCGAACTCCGGTTTCCAGGAACACAGGACCTGAAGTCAGAAACCCCCAGCTAACCTGCGGTGTGAGAATTCGCTTACCCGATCTCAGCCTCAGCTTCTTCACCTGTAAAATGGGGACAAAACAGGGTTACTGACAGCGTTTGTAATTAAGTTCCTCGTAATTTTAGTGAACTGTGAGATATAAAATAATGAGGGGGCGAAAATTTTAAAAATACAGTTAAAAGGATCGGGCCTCTAACATTTTCCTCTTCTGGAGCTTTTCTCTATTCCAAAGCGAGGAATTCCCGCAGCTCTGGGGGGAACGGGAGCGGGAGAAGGAGCCCCGGCTCTGAGCGGGTGCCGGGCCAGGGGCGGCAGCGCCGCAGAGATTTGGTGCGAGTGTTTTGTCGTTGCTTTTCCCCCCACGCCAGGCTGCATGGAGGTCGAAATCAGTACCGTCGGCTTCTCCGCTTGCGCCGGTTTGTCCGTACTTGATTGACAGTCTTTGCAAAGCAGGTTCCCCTCGCCTGCTCCACGCCCCCTCCCCGCCTCCGCAGAGCCCTCTGCGAAAGAGGCGGCCCATTTCCCAGACGGGGCACACGGAGCTGCGGCTGCAAGTAGCTCTTGCCCTCAGTGCCTTTGCCACGCGACTTCTGCGCTCCCAGCATGCAGCTCGCTCGCCCTCCCCTGCCCCAGGCCCTGTGCCCTCCTCAGGGGATCTCGCCTGGTTCCCTGGACCTTTCCGTATCCAGAGCGCGCCTGAAGTGCAAGGCGTGTCCTGGAGAAGGTCATGTGAAAAGCAACTGGGCAAACCCTGTGGGCTACCGGCCACCAGTGACGAGTGACGTGCACCCTGGGGAGCCACGGGACCTGGCCAGGCCAGCCAGTCCCCACCTTGCAGGAGTCCCACCATCAGCCGCACTCACTTCCCTACAAGGCCCTGCACTCCACCCCAGCTCCTCCTTTGTAACCCACAGAAATCTCTCCATACTCATTAAGGAGAAATCCACCCTGGTGGCTTTAGAGTAACTTTCTGGGATTAAAAACAACCGGGGATTTAAGACGTACCTGCAGGCCTCACTCAGCTGTCTGGAGCAGGCAGAACACAGGGACAGCTGGACAGAGTTTCACCGGCTCTTCTACATGAAACTGGGGGAAAAGGATGGAGCTTTCAGACTAGATTGCTCCTGAATGTGGGTGGTGTAGACCCCTTATAACATCAAAAACCTTTCGTAAGAATCGCTTAATGGTACCAAAATACTGGGGTGCAGAAACCTGAGTTATTCTAGGGTTTCCCCAGATCAGACGCTACTGGTTACTACAGACACTCGCCCCCCCAAAATCCCCCCACATGCATGTGAGCTCTCCTGTCCCTTGTATCTGGCTAATCATATCTCCCGATGGATGCCTGCAGACTCCACCGTGAGAAGACTCGGAGCCAGAAGCCATAAGTCCAGTTCAACCTGCCACTCCTGGCTGTGCAGTCACTCTTGAGCAAGTCACTTAACTGGTTAACTCACAGGGTCCAGAGCCTCACTGAGGCCCCGTGAAATGGACGTGCCTGGTTTTGTGCACTCCCGAGGACACAGGGAGATAAAGCCAACGCTCCTGTGATATTTTTTACTAAAATGTTTACTTGAAGTACAGAGTATCTGCAGAGAAGTACGCTGAGCCTTCACAGAGTCAACAGCACTCAACCCATGAAACCGATTATGACCAGCCCTGATGTTCTTAAGGCTCCTCACTGCCACTAAGTTGCAAATTCCCTTAGAGCAGGGACTGAGTATCATCCTGTTTTAAAATATAGCATATTAATAGAAAAATCTGAGGATGGCTTGTGTCTGCTTCACCGCATCTAAGGTCTCAGCTGGGAAGACATGAATGCCTAGAAGTCACTTGAATGGCCAGGAGCCAGAATCATCTGGTGGCATCTTCGCCCATGTGTCTTGCACCAAG